TCAAGTGAAGCCAGAGGACATAGTATGACCACACAAACTTTAGAAAACTTTTGAAGACCAGAGGGAAAGATAGAGTGCAAGAACAAAGACAAGAATAGAACAACCTACCAGTACTAGGGACTCACTCTCCTTTGAAACTAATGACACTCAAATGAAGGAAAAAGAGAAGAAAAGAAAAGAAAGAAAGAAAGAAAGAAATCCAAATTAGGGCAGGACCAGCAACAAAAAAGGAGATGAGGACTAATGTGGGGGAGAAAGTTACTGAGTGGGAAAAGAAGTCAGAAAAGAAAGATTTTGCATATTCAGATGAGGAAAAAATAGCAGAAAAAGGAGGGTAGGGGTATGGGGAAAAATGAGAACCAAGATCTGTCATGTAATGGTACAAGATCCCAGTGATGAATGTAACTGTACTGTATACTTAAAAAGTACCAATAAATGCAATAAGATTTTAAAAAAAAGAAAGAAGAAAAAGAATTTGAAGAGCCTCTTTCAGGGTATATTTCTGCTGTCACAATAGACAATGTAAGCAGCATTATGCAGAACTAAGTCATTTAGTCTCAGCTTGCCAGTGGCAGACCCCTGAGATTCAGGCTGAATTCTTGCTGCAAGGCCCAAGTTGAGCTCCCTGACCTCGTGAAGGGTTGAACTCTGCTAGGTTGTACTACAGGTTCCTTCTGCCCTTCCCCTCAAAATAGTCCAAATTCTGATGTAAGGTGGTAATCCCTCCAACTTACCAACTATGGAGGTCTTCTGAACCTTTATTGCAGGTGTTCACTTCCATTCTATCTTCTGGAGCTCAGTAAAAAGAACTTTATCACCACCTGTGCTTCTGCAGAGTGGATCCAGGAACTGGAACAATCAGGAGGCCACAGAGCATGGGAGTGTGGGGGAGAGGATATGTTGCAGAGGTGCTCGTGTGGCTGGCTGGAACTCACCAGTCTGCTGGATGAAGGCCGGGGCATTGGTGAGCTCCCTGTGTGGCTCCAAACAGTGTTTATAAGCATTTAAAATGAAGTGTTTTTATGAAGAGTCATCTTGGAATCACCAGATCTAGTTAAGTCTTTTATTTCAAGCCACACCAACCTGTTGTTGAGAGCAAATTATCAATTATAAGTTCAAAACTATTCATAAGACAAATAAACAATCAAATAAACCAACAAAGCTACATATAAACTTGAACAGGGCACAGAGGGATTAAGTACAGGAACTCGCCCAAGAGCAGAGAGCTCGTCAATATTGAAGCCAAGAAGCAAGCCTAGGGTCTTAGATTCAGGGCCTTAATCCCTGCTCTGTGGCTGGGCTCTTCTCATTTAGGAACAGTTTATCTATTTTCTGGTTAAAAGTGATATTCATGTCCAAGAAATGACCTTTTACCCCACCCAAAATAAATTGTAGCCCAGTAGTAAGAGCAAATTCTCATCTTTCACTGGGCACAGGTTGGGAATTAAGTAACATAGGGGAGGGGGTGAGAGGGTGAGTTTTAGATTAATTTATCTGAGGCAACATCCTGAAAAATTGTGTTAGAATTTTAGCTTGTCTTTTTTTTTTTTTTGGTGAAAGGAGGTGAACCTTGAGGTTCTTCATTAACCCAAGCACCATATGAGTCAGGAGTGCAATGGTTTATAGTAAGAAATTCTAAATTTATAAAGGAAATGATCATCCAACTTTACTCTGTGCAGTCTATACCCCAACTGGAGAGTCATATTTAGCTTTTGAAGCCATACATTCTGGGAACTTTGATAAATTGAAGCTTCTCTAGAGGGAGAATACCAGAATGGTAAGGAGGTACAAAATTCACTTTATGAGGGGTGATTTGCAAAGAGAGACATTCATAGAGTATGAATAAGGTGTGGTAGAAGAGTAAAATATTGTGGAAGACTTATAGGAATAAAGCAAATTCTTCCTGATGGATTATGAAAAGAGTCCTAAATATTTTTGGGAAATATTTCATGCTGTCGTATGAGAAAATTCAACCATATAATACTATGCTCTCAATTTTTAACAATTGTATTGTTTACTGGTAATTTGTGAAAACAGATTTTAGGTACTTTTAGCATATTAAGATAGCTAACAGATTATGGATAAATTAATTTGCTTGACTCTAGTAATCATGTCACTATGTATGTACATATCAAAACATGTCATACAACTTAAATATATACAATAAAAATCTCAAAATTTTAGTGGAACTGACTTACTGATATTAAATTTTCTTTTGAAAACAAATTGTTTTGAAGAATGACCATGGAAATCTGAAAAATAGTGATTAGGACTTTCCTTACAAGTTTTAAAAACACACAAGTAAGCTATGGCAATTGAAAGGGTATAGGAGTAGATGAACATATCAATGAAACAAAACACAGATCCTGAAAGGGACATATGCATATATAAAATATTTTAAAGGTAATATTTAAAATTTGTGATAATAAATTATATCAGAGCAGTTAGATATATATGGATTAAAATAAAGTTGTGATATTTATCTAGTTCTTAAATATTTAAAACTAAAGAAAATTGCCATGTGGGAGACTATTTTTTGAAGGCAAGGCATTTCTAAATGAATAGATCAACAAACTTGACAACATAATCTTAAGTGAAATGGATTGAACCTACATTGTTTTCTCTTATGTGAGAAACTCAAAAGGTAAATAAGGAGCAGAGTGGAGGATAGATATTTGGAAGTAGGAAGGACATGCTCAAATGGGTAGGAGAACAAGGGAGGGGGAAGGGGAAAGGAAGAGAGGGAAAAGGAAAAAAAAAGAGAATGGAAGGAAAAAATGGAAACAAAACTTTTGTAAGTGGGGATGGGAAGAAGGGTTGAAGGGAAGGGAACAGGGGAAAAAGAATTAAGATATATTATATAGAGATACAAATTCCATATGATAAATGTGATCAACATATATGACAAAGATGTACTATTAAAACAACAAAGTTAAAAAATTTGAAGGGACCCAGGTTGGTCCATATAGATATGTTTATAAACAAAGATATCAAATTCTTAATTTATAAATCTATAATTCAGTAGACTGAGCACTTAAAGATAGAGGTAAAAAACTACAGAAGTGAAGTCCCACTGCAGGGAAAATCACCAAGGTCTGTGAGGTCTGTGAAAATTCCCTAGTTACATGTACCAGTGCTCTTTTAAATTAAAAAATTTACTAGTACATGTTTGTAGTCCATAATGTTTACATTTCATACAATGAGCAGAGCCAGTGCTCCCTGCTGCTATGCCCATAGCAGATATAATGGGTTTCCACTCTCTTCATTTAGCCCAAAGGTAGATGCCTAAGTTTTTCTAGTACTACAATCTAGGAATCCTTATCAGTTGAGCAGAGTTGGCATTGGAGTTATAATTAATTTACCATACATGTAATAAAGAAATAAACTTGAACAGTATATTCTTGTTCCATTCTGTATTACCTTTCATTAGGTATTATTGTGGCAAAGTCAAAGAGATTTAAAAATTTCTTTTAAAAAGTTTAATTTTTAGTTGATAAATAGTTGTACTTATTTATGGGTACAATGTGATGTTTCAATGTATATATTATTGTGGAATGATCAGATAATGTTAATAACTATCAAATACCATTTCTCTGTAGTGAGAACATTTAAAATCTGTTTTCAACTATTTAAAATATACAACACATTATACTACAGACATGAGATTGTAAAATAGATTACCAGAACGTCATTCTATAATTTAAAACTTTAATATCATTCACAGACTCCTTGTATAAAATAGCAAGAGAGATTATTTTATTTGATGTAAACATTTCCATCTATTAAAATATAAACATCAGGAAAGAGAGAATCGCTATGCAACTAAATATAAAATAATTCATCTGACGGCTTTACTAAATTATATAGTTAATTTTCTACTTAAATGGAGAGGCTCATTTATTTGTTGCTGTTGTTTTTGTTTGTTTGTTTGTTTTTGGTACTGGGGATTGAACTCGGATCCTTGCAATTGTGAGGCAGGTGACAGAACCACTGAGCTAAATCTCCAGCCTGAGTGGCTCATATTTATCAGCCATTCTGGACCTGAAAGTCCTTACTAGTAGTTCATATTCATTGATTTTTTTTATTCTGCTTCTAGTGCTACAGGAAGAATTTCTGATTGTATGGAATAAGCCTTCTTTATTATGAAAAAAATGACAGATAAAAGAGAAAGTAGAAATACAGATTATCTCTCAGAAAAGTCCAGGAAGAGTTTGGGGGATGAACAAATTGGGCAAAGGAAGGGAAAGAACAGTAAAGAATCAAATCTCAAATGTTAGAGCCATAAAACTATCTTACTAACAGTCCGTTGGGTGATTGATGTGATTTGCTGATAAAGTTTTTACTCCAAAATCCAGGACATGGAACTCTTGTGAAAATTTAAAAAGGAAGCCATAGTTATCATGGAATGATTAGGGAACACAGATTCTGCAGTTGATGAAGTCGTTAGTTTGATGGGGAGGCTGTATATGTGTGTGAGTGCATGCACATGTACACACATTCTCTCTCTTTCTCTCTCTCTCTCTCTCTCTCTCTCTCTCTCACACACACACACACACACACACACACACACAAATATACAGCCCTGCAAAAATGTTTCAGATAGCTTCAAATAGAACAGGATGGCTATGTAAACACAAATATCTTTGCAAATATGTAAATTTCTATATAAATGTTTGCAAATTCTCTAGTAATTCAAATGACTAAATCTGGCTGAATTCATAAACAGAAATATAGGAAGCTCTAAAGAAATATGGAATGAGTCAAAGGACTGTGATTTTCTGGAATGGAGAAAAGTTACAAGAGTAAGTCTATAATTCCAACATAGGTACCAAGACATCCTAACTGTATACTTACTGAATGTCAGAGACTGCAAAGAGGAAAATCACAAATGGCAGCTTCAATTGATGAGAGAGCATTTCTACACAACATACCTCTTGCACATCATACACACACAGACACACACACAGACATACACAAATAAGCGTGCATGTCACTTGCAATCAGGGTCCCTGGATTCTATTGGCTTTTGTAGAAGAAAATCTATGTATTTGATACTTAATCTTGTTTATTAACTTCTCTAAGCCCCGCTTCATGTCTTTGTTTCTCAAACTGTAGATAAATGGGTTCAACATTGATGTTAACACTGTGTAGTTGATTGATGCTATTTGGTCCTTGACAGTGTATCTGGACAAAGGCTGAAAATATATGTAGCTAATACTCCCATAAAAGAGTCACCACAGTGAGATGGGAGCTGCAGGTGGAGAAGGCTTTGCGTTTTCCAGCAGCTGAAGGAATCTTGAGAACAGCAATGAGGATTCTCAGGTAAGAGATGAGGATGCAGACAAATGGAAGCATCACAGAGGCCAGTCCTTCTGTCATGGCCACCACTCCATTAACAAAAGTAGAGGAGCAAGACAGTTTCAGAACAGGGTTGAAATCACAAAAAAAGTGACGAATAACCTTTGATGCACAAAAAGTGAGCTGATTTGCCAGAAGGATGTAGGAGAGAGTGGAGACAAGAGAAAGTAACACAGAAGGCCAGCAGCATCATACAACACCAGTGGTTCATAGCAGTGACATAATATTAAAGGGTTGCAAATGGCTATGTAGTGATCCATGGCCATAGCTGCCAGGAGGTAACTGTCTATGTTTCCAAAGATCAGGAAGAAATATATCTGTGTCAGACATTCAGCGTAGGAAATGGTTTTTTTTTCTGATAAGAAGTTCACCAGCATCTTGGGAACTATGACTGTTGTGTAGCAAATATCTACAAAGGACAGAAAGGTTAGGAAGAAATACATAGGAGTTTGGAGTTGAGGATTAGAGTGGATAGTCAAGATGATGATCAGATTCCCCATCAGGGTGACAAGGTATATGATAAGAAAGAGGGCAAAGAGTGGCTTCTGGTCCTCAGGCCTTGTGGAGAGTCCCAAGAGGATGAATTCAGAGTCTTGAGAGGTTGGACATTCCACAGGCTTGTATGCACCTACAGATAAAAACATTGTCAATGAATGGTTTTTATGTCATTTACAACATACACCTTTCCATCTTATTCTCAGACAAAACAGTTCTTAATGGAGTGTTTATACTATTTATCCCCCCCCACCCATGGAGAGATCAGAATGGAATCACAGTGAGACCTCCCTCAAAAAACAAAACAAAACTTAGTGCTGGAATTTGAAGTAAGGAGAAATTGGTGTATTAGTGGAATTCTATACAATTCAATTTTGTGAATCTTTCTGTAGTATTTATAAGAATGTCTTCCTTGCCACTTCATTTACATAACTTTACAGCTTGTGAAACTCATCAATCAAGTGATAAATCCATGTTAAGAGAAGACTCCATCTTTTTCTTTATTAAAAGCTGGTACATTAAAAAAAGTGAAAGTAGCTTTTGCCACCCTAATTTCCCTAATGATGAGTCAAAGTTCCAATGTCTTAAAAAGTAAACATAGAACTTTTGATAAAAATTACTTCAATTGTAAGAGTTTAAGCATATTTTTTGGTGGTACTAGGGAGTTAAACCCAGGACCTTCATAATTTTACTAATGTGCAGGTTTAGCTCTGCATTCCCAGCTTTTTTTGTTTTATTTTAAATTTTGAGACAGGGTTATGTTATGTCTAATTTTCCCAGGCTGGATTTAAATTTATGATCTTCCTGTTTCAGCCTCATAGCATGCTGAGATCAAATTTTTGTGCTATTGCACACTTCTTAGTTTTAAATTTAAAGTGTTCAACAGACATATTATGAAGGATTTTCAAGAATTGTTTTATGTTACCATGGTGTAAACCATTTTAATGGTATTTAGCGTTCTCTACTAACATTTAAATTAGGTGGTTTTATTTTTATATATTATTTGCTTCAGTTGTACAGCAAATAAAATATATAAGCACCTCTTCTGGAATTTTATTAATTAGGTTTCTAAACAGATGCCTCCAAACTTCAATATAGTTTTTTCTGTCAGGGAGCACAGTATGGGTATAAGTTTCTGACTACCCTGACTTAGTTGCCTAAATACTGTATTCTGTCTCATTTTACTGCTAGGATTAAAGGAGGACATAAGTCTGTGGAGTACATTTTAATATGGTTAGAAGAATTAACAATAAACTGGTCTTTGCTTTTTAGGAATTATGGGTGTTTGGACAAGTACAGAGGTGGAATAATAGAACAATTATCAGAACAATGAAAATGCAGGGAAAAATACTAATAAACCTAAAATACCCTTGGTAAACACTGTATGTGGGAGAATGATTGGTGAAATAGGGCATCTCATGGCTTCAGGTAATTCAGGTTAATAAAAGAAAGATTATCACTGAATGTCTGTTTATTCAGATATTCTTGAGTGATTGTTTTGTGCTGGGCACTAGGCTAGGGACTGGGTATAGTGGTCAATTTATTACAGATTCTTTCCTTCAGAAGACCATAGTAGAACAAGGGAATTAAACCTGATTTCAATTTGGTTGAATAGTATTTATAGTTATTGTACCAAAACCAGCAACAGCAACAAGAACAATTGTTATTTGAGCTTTTTACTACATGTCAGACCCTATGTTCAACACTTCATTTATAATCTAGTCCTTAAAGAAATAATTACAAAAATCAGGTGTTATTTTCTCTTTGTACATAGGTAGATTAGAGCTCAGAGATGTTAATTAATTGCTGGATTAGCAGAGCTTGTCATTGGTGGATCCCAGAATTGTATTCAATTTCACTGGGTTCCAAAGGCATGCTTTAGGCCATTACATCAAGCTTTGCTTATTATATCATACTAAGGTAATAAGTATAACTGTGATTTATTGGGGGCAATTATGAACAAAAACTGCCATTTGGGGTCCTTGGACAATGACTGTAGTCTCAGGATTAGTGTCAGTCATTGAAATGTTCTAGAGGTGAAACTAACCTTCCCCCGAGAGTCTGTCCATGGTGTCATCATCCGTGGGATGGCAGGCATTTTACCAGACCTCTCCTAGGTTAAAGAGCTCTTGGGGCTCACAATTTATATTTTGCACCTGGCCTCATCAGCCCCGATTTACACATCTGTCAGATCTGGCCTTCAGCACCATGGCCAGATCCCAGGGGTCTGACAAAAGCCCAGAGCTTTCTTTTCTTGCCAGGTGAATGTGTAGGTGAGGAAGAAGCCTACCTTCTTCGTATTGTTCTTCCATGACAAGTTCTTATCTTTAACATTGCCTTTTTTTTTTTTTTTTGGGTATCGGGGATTGAAGTCGTGTCTTTGCGCATGGGAGGCAGGAGCCGGAACCCTCAGCTAAGTTCCCGGCCCTTAGTTCTTGTCTTTAACCACAAGCTATCTGAGACAGACAAATAGAAATGCTAACTGGAGATGTGGATCAAATGCGTGGTTCTGGTGGTTATGAGTAATATAACCTTTTGTTTTCTTTAATGTTTTGGCAAAATCTTTGGACTCGGATCTCTGATTCTCCCAGTTTGAAGATAGGTGTTACCTAATGCTAGATTTTCCACGGGTTTCCTGCTGCTGAGTATGTGGTTAATTGAGGTGGATGATATTTTGAGCTAGAAAGGTTTGCTTAATCATAAAGGAACAAAGTCAACTACCAGAAAATAAAAGAAAAGCTTCACAGTATACATTGAAGTGTAGAGGATGAGAGAATGACCTACGTATGCTAAATGCCTATCTTTAACAAAACTTACATTTTGCCTTTTGGCTTCAATTCTTATTGTAAAACATATCGACTGTTAGAGATACACCTGGAACTCAAACTGCTTATCCATCCTCTCCTCTGTCTTTCCTTTTACGCCTAATATAGCTACTACCCAAGCTAGTGATATCCTTATGCATGTTTTTAGAACTTCATTATCTATGCATATTTTACGAAAACAATATAATTTTTCATGTTTAAAAATTAGTACTTTTTTTTTACCTTTTTTGAAAATGGCCTCTTCCAGTAAATAGTATGCCTTCAGGACTTAAATTTATCAATTCATGTGACTACTTCCAGGTGGAGTACTAGAGGTGAGCGACAAATGAGATAAAACATACATCTGTGCCTGAAGCACAATACTCAATGGAATGATCTATCCCTCGTCCACCAAGAGCACCATCTACAAATTGTGTTTGCTTTCAGGGCTGTCTTTCTCTATACCCTACCGGTCTCTATAGCAGCATATTAGTCAACCAAGGAGTCTGAAAAAGCTTCAGAGCTAATTTAACAGGCATTAAATGCTCTGGTCAGATGGCTATTAAATTAGAAATTGATAATGAAGATATAGTTGAAGAAAATATGTTTGGAAGCAAAAAATGCACTGAAAGGAAGTTTGGGGAGGGACCAAGTGCAACTCCTGACTGCATGTGAGATAGTTAGGAAGAGCTGCATTTAAAGAATTTATTGGGATAAAGATACCTAACTTTCCCTTAGTCTAACTTTCCTTGGACTAAGGGAAGGTACGCAAGCCGTGTTATCTTGAAAAGCAAACCATTGGAGAGAGTTTCTTGCTCAAGCGAGGAACTCTACAAGATTAAGTGGAAAGGGGTGTAGTCAGATGTCAGGCCTCAGGGTGAAGGTTTGAAGTTGTCAGGGTTTGACTCTACCTCCTCTGGGGAGAGTGCAGTAGTAATTACCTGTAGGTGTTCTCAGCTGAGCCTGTGTGGTGCTCCCATGAAGAAAATTCTGTATTTGGTCTCTGTACCAAACACAGCACTCAGTGAGACCTTCTTTTTCATCTTTCCTTTTCAATGCTACCATAGCCAGAGACTACCCTCAAGCAAGGATGGAAAAGATGGTGCAATGAGAAAGTAGCCATGTCCTGCCTTCCCAGTCAGGTTTCTGAACAAGAATCTAAGGTCTGCTGGGGAATAAAGCAAGGTGTAAATTACTTGAGAAGCAAGGCTTTTTAAAAAATATTTGATTGGATTAGATTTTTAGTGCCTCTAATGTGATTTGTCAAAAGCAGTAACATCAAAAAAGTTACTTCCTGGCTTGCCTCTACAAAGTTCTGCTCCTTCAAAAAATACTGTCTTAAGAGAAGATTTTCTGGTGTAATTTTCACAACCTTATGAAATTATCACCATTTGACAGATGAAAAAATGTAAGTTGTTTAGGATCACATAACTAATAAGTGAACTGATGTAGATAAAGAACTATACTTTAGACAAAGCTGATTCCAAAATCTTACATTAACTTCTAGCCACTGCCCTTTATGAGAAAATTTCTTTCATTTACTTAAAAAATATTTAATGTGTACCACTAATGACTGGTCCTTATACTAGGTTTTAGGAATAAGGAAGTCAATGATTAGTGGGTATACAGTATCTGTGTCCATATGCATGGATGTGTGTGCTTGTTTTCAGAAATATGTGTATGTATGTGACCCATGTATGGATTCCTGTGTAGACTTTTGACATTGGAAGACAGTCCAGGCATGAGCTACAAAGTGAATGGAAAAGTAAGAGGCATCCTAGTGAAATTCTGTGCAGGACTCTGTGATGGAGTAAACTAGAAATGAAGCTGGAACTAGTTGATTGTTTCTGATGAATCCTGTCACTCTAATTAGCTGTCCTCTATCGGCAATTATTCATTTTTCCTCTGGTTGCTTTTAGTACATTCTCTTTGTGTTTGCTGCTCAGTAGTTTTTATAACATGGTAACTATGTATAGAAGTTTTAAAAACTGTCTTGTTTGGGAGTTATTGTGATTTTTAAATCTGAGAATTCATTTCACTAATTCTGGCAAACTTACAGTGTGTATCTTTTTAATATGACCTTTTTCTATTTTTCCACAATATTATTCTTCTTGTATTTAAGAAATTGTATGGATTTAAGGTATATGATGTTTTGATATGCCCTATACATCATGAAATGGTTACTAATGTCAAGCAAATTAATATATCTATCATCTAATAAAATTACCTCTATTTTTGTGTTAAGACTATCTTAAATATACTTTTAAACAAAATTTCTAGCATACAGTATTCAATGGAATATTAACTGTAATCTTCATGCAGTACATTAGTCCTCTAGACTTTTT